GCTCGCGGAAGGGCACCCTTCGCGGAAGTCTCTATCGCATTGCGTGATTGGTGCGCTACTTTGTGTAGCGCACCTGTCATCACGTGCGGCGCTGCTAATCCCGGTAAGCACGCGCGCGACCCTGATTTGCAATGCCTCCACCACCCAGCGCTGTTGGTTGGCCCGCGTTGCGAGGCTCGCTCTGTGGCTGCCCGATCGGAACGCCGCGGTGTTTCGCCGCCGCCGCTACGGCGAGTGCGCTGCGAAGCACGCTATATAGGAAGGCTCGCCCAACCACCTGCGCAACTCCCTGCACTCCTTTCGTTCACGGGGCAGTTGTCATCCTGCTGTGTACCTTGTCTGCGTTTGTTTACTTCCTTATTAACGGTAACTAACATGAACGGCCTGATACCTCTGTAAGCTGCAAGCATTTGGTCAAGGAATACAACATGTACCTTCATGGTGGTAGTCGCGCGTTGGCTGCTCGAAGACATGCAACAGAGAAGCCGATGTGACTGCCTATTAGGGTGACACACGATATTAATCCGTAATTATTGCTATCAAAATGCAATAAGTACTTGGCCGAGGCCAACGTTTTCAGATACTGTCAGTATCTAGAAACGTTGGCCGAGGCTCCTTCCTGCAGTGTGCTATATATATATATATATATATATATATATATATATATATATATATATATATATATATATATATATATATATATATATATATATATATATATATATATGCCAACAAAATACAGCCGGTAAACGGCTCTGCAAAGGATTGCGGCGGGTGGGGGTTCCCTGTACGACGTGTCTGCTTAATTACTTCTCATCGCATTGTTGTCTAGAGGCGTTCTTCAAGCGGGTGCAACGGCAGATGGCAAACGCCATCTGGTGGTTTGCCCTCATTTATGAAACAGCCCCTCGGATTATCTGCCACGTTGCTGCTGCCTGCCCTGTCTGACCACCCGAAGCGCTTTCGCCCCTTTGGCGACCGTGTCGTGCCTGGTCGAATCTGTGAGCGCCTTGACGGGTGGAGACTGCTCGTCGAAGACTCGCGGGGTGCGGTCGACTGACCCCGTTCTCAGGGGTCGCTCGGCTCCACTTTCGATGAGTCACTCGAGCGTGCGCCACTTCACGTTCTGCGCAACGCCCCGCAGTTGCTCTTGTGGCTCGCCGATGGCTGTCAAGTGGAGACGGTGAATCGCTTTATTGTCGTTCATTTAGCCATCGTAAATGTTTGTCATCAGAAGAAATGAACACAGCTCAGAACAAAAGTACCTATTTGTCACGAGAACGGTATAGTGGCAGTTTGAGCTGCTTGTTATAGTGCTGCGTAACGCTTTTTAAAATTAACTCTCTTCTTCAAGCGTTGTGTCCTCTGAAGGAATGTTTTCCTACTCCAATATATGGCATTACCGTTGCGTCGAGGGAACGAGACAGCGCTCTTCACCTGTGTCGGGGCTCGCACGACACCCGCCCACTTTAACGATGAATATTTACCAACTATAGCTCAACTTTCTGTATTTCGTAAAGAGGGAAAGGTAGCTCCATCGCGTCGCGATGTAAGAGGCCCTTCAAAACGGTAGAAAGTGTCATTGAAGGAACGCTGAAAAGAAACGACGAATAGGACTGGTGATCTTTCAAAACTCGTGTCGTCGTTGCCAGTGCGGTCTGCCGTGGTCGATGATTGGTTATGGTGTTCGCCTGCTGACCCGTGGGTTCGACCCCGGGTTCGATCTCGTGTTTGGTTTCGGCCTCGGCGGTCGCATTTCGATAGAGGTGAAACAGTAGAGGGGGGGGGGGGGGGGGGGTGGCTGTACTGTGCGATTGCAGAGCACGTTAAAGAGGACCAGATGGTCGAAATGAGTGGAATGGGCTCACAAGTGTACAAGTGTCTGCTGTAAATGAAAATTCGTTTTATTCGAATCTGTAACCCCCTGCTATAACGCCTTCGGGCGCTGCAGGTATACTTCGAATGAAGAATAAAGAATAAAGAAATTTCTGGAACCTCTACTGCGACGTCTCGTATATTGGGATATTGGAAACTATTATTATTATTATTATTATTATTATTATTATTATTATTATTATTATTATTGACCCCGCGCTTATTACGTCACGCATCGGCTACACAGTCACATTTTCGTGCCGCACCTGTCGAACTTGGACGGAATCGATCCTTCAGTGGCCTGCTTATCGAGTCAAAGAAGACAAAGGGCAGATGATAAGCGTTGCGGGGATACGGCCACATATACCCAAGGCCACGTGTTCGATGGCGAATGTGCGCGGATGCGTTATCGGTTGGCGCGCGCGCCCCTCGAATCGCTTTGCGGGAAATTTCGTGGCTGCCGCTGCTTTCTTATTTTATCGCTTTCCCCCCTCTCTCTTTCACAAGTGCGCGGCCGGTTGCATTTCATCGCGGCGCAGAATAATTGTCCCTCGGTTGAGCAGTAACTTGGTGATGGTTTCCCTGCCGCCTGCTACCGGTGGACGACAGGTGCAATAAATAGGAGCGTGAGGCTGTCACTGATTCGTGTGAAATGGATTCTCTCACCGAGGATTCTGTGAGTTCGTGTATATGGTGTCAGTGCTGGCATCTAGTTATAGCTGCGCCCAGTATCACGAAGTCGCGTTGCGTAGCGCTTTTATTGGATCGATGCATGCATGGTTATACGGTTCTCGACTGCCGACTGGAATGTCCTGGCCGCGGTGGTCGCGTCTCGGCGAAAACCAAGTGGGAGGCCGGTGATGTCAGTGCGTGTTGAAGGACACCAGGTCTTCGATATTCCCGGAGTTCTCCTTGGTAATCATATCGTGGTTTTGGGACGTAGAGCTCCAGATACTATTTATTGGCGTTGGCCAGCGCCGCGTGCGCAGTGGTGCAGTGGTTACGGGGCTCTGCTGCTGACCCGAAAGTAGAGCATTCGAACCCAGCCGTGGTGGTCGCATTTCGACGGAGGTGACGTGCCCATGCATATTAAAGAGTTTCAGGAGGTCGACATTTCCGGAGCCGTTCACCGTACGGCATAGTCGCGGTACTCTATAGATATTGTGCTATTTGCGCCGGTCAGCTTTATCGCAGGTCGCGTCTGATATGCCGCAGTAGGGAGAGGTCGTGTGCAGATAAAACGTTGTTTAGCAGACGGCTCAGTAATTACATCTTTATCGTGAGGTCGGATCCAACAACTTTGGTGACGCAATACATGGCTTTCTCGTGACGTCGCGGACGCAGCTTCTGAAAGGAACTCCACGATGGCGGCTTTGATGAGAAACAAGTTGCATCCAAGAGAAAACGACGTGGGAGGAATGTCTCTGTGCGCGAATAATGAAAGAGCCTGCATATATATGATTGTTCGTTGGCATTATTGCCCCATGATGTGACATCAAAAATGTCTCGTCCGCACATGCTGGTGCTCCAACACGGTGGTTTCAGCGACGTCAGTGCAAGCCGTTGATACGTGTATTGCGTAATTCGAGGATTTATTGAACGCAGCAATATATAAGAAAATCGCCTATATATATATATATATATATATATATATATATATATATATATATATATATATATATATATATATAATACGTGCTTTGGGGGGGGTCTAAAATTTAGTTCCGCGATTTCTCTATAACCGGCTTTCGCGAATTGCCCCTATTGGATAATGCCAATCAGGACTGTGACGTTAGTTCTTCCGTCAATTAACAAAGCTACTCCTACAATTATTGAAATCGTTGCTGTTTTCATTTAATGATGTTTATTACTGCCTTCATTGCTGTTGTAATTTCACCAGTGTGTCAGTACATAGATACAAGTTTTCCTAGGCGAAAATATGGCGCATAGCTTTCATTTGAAACAACTATCTCTTCGTCCGCGGTATCGAGACGCTATAGCCAGCGGTCGTGGCACTACATTGTATTGTATCCGTTTCTAAACACCTCGAGTGCAACATGCGCATTTCTAAAGGTGCCTGTCTCTCCTCCGTTCTCGACGACGTTGCCGCTGAAGGTGTGCGTCTTGGCCTTTGACATTCCATGGTCACTTAAAGGTCAGCCACGGTCTCTTTCGCTCGTCATTTCACTCCCCTGTAGCCGTTTGGTCGCTGATTGAAGCGTCTGCGCCGTGTCCTCCTTTCTGGAATTGTGAGAAACGAGCAAGAACGGTGGCGCATGTAAGGTCCTCGTTCCATGCGAATGGCGCGCATTGAAGGACTCTGGCATTACGCACCGGACTGCAGCCGTATGTGCAGGTGACGGCGCCATTGTGAAGCAACACCACTGACAGTGTAATTAAAACGCTCGTAGGGTAAGCGGGAAGCCCTCTTGCGTGTCAACTGTTTGTTTGGCAGGCTCATTTAGTTTGACGTCATCGCTTCTCCTTCTCGACGACGCCGCCTCTGGAGCGGTCCCGTTGACAATAGGTCAGGTGCTGCGTTATGGCAAGCCTTTACGCTGTCCGCGAAGGGATGCGACGTGGCTGCCGCTGGTTTTTTTACCCTTTGCGCACGTCTAGATGGTGGCTCTCTCGTTTCGTGCATTGTCGACCCGAACCGGTACCGTGTTTCTGCGTATCGTGTGTCCCGGGCGCTGTTGCGCCGCCTTTTGCGACAAGCTTGCTCCGAAAGGAGACACCTCGCCAACAGGGACAGTCGGAAACGCGAGTGCCTTGCAGGTCAGGCTCTCTCTCCCTCTCTTTTTTTTTCAGAGTTCAGCGATACTACAAGGGTAAAAGCTGAGGTATGCAGTGTCCTTCCCTCATGAACAGACCTCCGTTGGAATAACATGTCGCCGATGGACGTTATACGATGATCGGAAAAGCGTTCTCATGGTCAGATGCTTGAACTGTCTTGTATTGCAGTCCTAAACTGCGCGTAACAGCAATAGCGGATATTGTGTGAAGCGGGGTCAACGTTGAGCGTGACACCTCTGTATCGGCTGCAGTTCATTCGCGTCGATAAGTCTAGAGGTGCTCTGTCGAGTGTCAGCGTGCTGAGTCTGCTTCGCGTTGTTTTTTTGCAGAAGGTGGACCCGGAGCTGATCTTCACGAAACAGGAGCGGATCGGCAAGGGTTCGTTCGGCGAGGTGTTCAAGGGGCTGGACAACCGGACGCAGCAGGTGGTGGCCATCAAGATAATCGACTTGGAGGAGGCCGAGGATGAGATCGAGGACATCCAGCAGGAGATAATGGTGCTCTCTCAGTGCGACTCGCCGTACGTGACGCGCTATTACGGCTCGTACCTGAAGGGCACGCGCCTCTGGATCATCATGGAGTACCTGGGCGGCGGCTCGGCCCTGGACCTGATGAAGGCGGGCCGCTTCGACGAGCTCCACATCGCCGTCATCCTGCGCGAGGTGCTCAAGGGGCTGGACTACCTGCACTGCGAGCGCAAGCTGCACCGCGACATCAAGGCCGCCAACGTGCTGCTCTCCGAGATGGGCGACGTCAAGCTGGCCGACTTCGGCGTCGCCGGACAGCTGACCAACACGACGAGCAAGCGGAACACGTTTGTGGGCACGCCCTTCTGGATGGCGCCCGAGGTCATCAAGCAGTCGGCATACGACTCCAAGGTGGGCAGTGGATTCCGTTCTTGATTTTTATCGTCTTCACAACGTTTGCTAAAGTGGTCGGCTGACAGTATACTTTCCAAGCATGCCAGGCATAAACCAGGAATGTTTGACGATCCTGGAGAAAACTCGCTGTATTTGCAATCGTTAATTTAACAATGTTAATATCTTCTGCAAATGTTAGTGGTGCCGCAATGCGATGGAGTCGAATTTTTCTGGCCAGATTTCGTGCTTGAAGGTCCATGTATACCTGCAGCGTTGGTGGCACTATATATCCTATAGTAACATTTGTGGCGCATCAGTGCCATCAACGCAGCAGGGCCACAAATGTTACTATAGGATATATCCCCCGTAAAATAAGAAAGCATATTGTGCATTGCTGAAACTTTCTGTATAGGGAATTTACAAAAGATTCAAGGTTTATTTCGTGCGTGCCAGAGAGATGTTCTTTGCAGGAATTCTCACCATTCATTGGCTTCGGCATCCGGAGGCGAGATGAATATTATTTTTTAAAATAATACAGCTACTCAAGTTGACAAAGTGAATGATCCCTGTTTAGGCAACACCAAGGAGAGCGTTCGCCCTCATTTGCCGTGCATGTATTATCTGCGTGTTGAAATTAATATATACGCACGTTTCCGCACGCCCGTAACAATAAATAACTGTTGGGGTTTCACGTTCCGAAACCACGATACGATTATGAGGTACGCCGTATATGAGAGGGTTCCGGAAATTTCCCGTGCACCGCACCTGCTTCGCGCAGCAAATTCCTTCTGAGTTGGCAGACATGTAGTATGCAACGTTTATCCCTTTCTCTCTTTTTCTTCATTTAACGTGGCGGTATTGTTTTTCTTTTAATCTCACTGTGGTGGGTCACTCGAAAATGCGGGCATTATTAGAAATACTCCGGTAATTCAAGTGCATGCTTAATTGAACGAATGTTAACTATCAGTGTTTTAACAAATAACTTCATGTCCATATTGTACTATGCGAACTGAAGCCATGGATTTCTGTTAGGCACAACCATTAAGAGAGGGCTTGGAAGCTGTATACCTCTTGATAAACGGAAAACATTGTCAGACTTGCGGTGTAAATGCGCCGTAACACCTACTGTGTTAAACGAAGGGCCCTTTTTGTCCGTGCACCAAAGCTCGTAAAGTATGCGAACACCAGTGCTCTTCGTCGCAAGGCTGTAACTATAGTCCCGCTAACATTGCAGAAAAATGGCGTAGTTGATTTCTTCTTTCTGAGAACCACCCGACAAGCGAGTACGGTACTAGTGTTGCCGGTAGCCCAAACCTGGCGGACGCTTGACGTTGGGGCATGGAGGTTTATACTGGTATAACCTCCTTGCGTTGGGGAGAACGCTGACTTCTTGAACTTGCCTAGAAACCCGGCGCAGCACCGAGTCGAAGCAGGTGGTAGTAGAAGAGGGTTCGTAGGAGCTGCACTGGGGCCGCGAACTGCCGTCGCATTTATTATTATTTTTTTTTGTTTAGACCAGTATACACAAGCCGGTTGAAAAACCTTTGGGCAACTTCTTCCCCGAGTATTGACAGGCAACAATGGTCTGGAGTACTGCGTGTTGCAACTTTATGAACCCCTTCGTTTCGCTGAGTCAACATTGTTGTTGACGCTGTTTCGTCCAAAGCGACTGCTTCGCTCGGGGTGGCTGTACAGCAAGGCGGGGAGGGGCCACGGGCGGCTGTGTGTTGTTTCTTGGCGGCCATTAATCACGTCGCGCCGAATCTGATTGCGTGTTAGGGAGACCCTCGTACACGCGTGCAGGCTCTCTGGTGTGCGCATACGACGGAGCCGGCGTGAAAACGACGCGAAACGAAGCAAAGCAAGCAAACAGAGGCACAGGAAAGGGACTGTCCTCGCTCGATCGGCTCGGGAAAGTAAGTTGGTGCCGGCGAAAGATCGCGCGGGGACGTGAGCGGCGCGTGGAGGCTTTGTTGCTTCGCCGCGGACCTCTCTCTTTCTTTGTTTTTCGACGGTAATTGCGTTTCCGACCACACCCTGCAGTTTAGACGCGCGGGACAATGGGAGTCGAATAGGCAATGTGACGAGCGCCGACGCGTCGCCGATGTCGGGGCGAGAACAGGGGGCGCCTTGTCGGGGGTTTTCGAAAATGTTCCCAGGCCTCGTGTGTGTTCTGTGGGAGTTAGAACTCAGAAGATAGAGAGTTCCGAGATATTATGCATCTCTTATCGTATATTATCCATCTAGCCGCCCTCGACTGGGTGCTCTTGTCGTCGCCGTTTCCTTGACATTTATATACACCCCAAATTAATGTATGATATGAACAACATGACGAGCCTGCCGTGCACAAGTATGGGACCCTCTCCCCCGGCCATGACGTGTAGGGCGTGTTCGCGTGACTCGTGGTATGCAGGTATGCGCTGCGCGTGATTGGATGTATATAGTTTGTATGAACGCAGGAACGGCGAAAATAACAACTGAAAATTTTATGAGAGCTCATTTTGCGATCGTTAAACCGGATACGAGTCGCGCCTCTGGTTGCACATTTTGATGTGCACATCGCACAAGCAGACAAATGAGGCATGCGTGCTACGACGACCCTCAGCAAGCAGCCAATAAGGGTCACAGATCCGAAGATAATGTTTTACATCAGCAGTGGTGGTTATGCTTGTTCAACACCAGTTGCATGCAGCGCTGCTAACGCGAGTGCCGACGTTACGTTGGACCGTAAGCTAGCATTCAGGCATCACAGCTAGTGTAGTCGATGTGCCTGATATGATGCGCACAACCGCTCGATTCACACGTTGAGGCTGATCGAACAATGCGGTTAAGATAGCGCTCCTCGCTGACTGCTTCGCGTGACGTCGATTCAATGCGTGATATCTACTTAATTTCTTTAAAGATAGCCTGCTCGCCCTCTATGCAGTCTACGCTTGACGCCACTCCACGACGATGTCTCGGAAGCTCGGTTGTAAGATATCAAAACTCGTATACGCTGCCGGAGGTGTCCCAAGCCTAGCACGAACCACACGTTCGTGCTGTGCTTCGCTCGAATGATTGAGGCCGATCGGCAGCATAACGGACTTGCACGGAAGTCGCGTTCGCGATTGGGCGCAGTGTAAAAATGGGCCTTGCGCAAAGGTGACCCTGTGCTGATTTGTCGGCTCGGAACTAATGGTGCTCTGCTTTCTAGCGAGTGCGCACGGTAGCTGGCAGCAGCGGTGTGTCTGGGCAGTGCGCACACTTGCGCCATCGTTAATGTGCACCTCCAAGAGGTTTTTTTTTTTTTTTTTTTTGTCGGGGTACGTGAATTGTTTAGCGTAGTTGGTCGCTGTTGTACTTCAAAACAAGCTGCCGCGCACGTATGACGTGTAATCAGATTGTGAGAATTAACTCGGCCTAGTTTGTGCCGGCGTAATCGTTTTTTTTTTTTTTTTTTTCAGGCCGCATCCAGCCGCTTGAATAGCGAATGTGTTTCGTATTCTTACGGACGGAGGACCACCGCCTCGCATATAAAAACACTGCCTGCCGCCTCGGACATTGAGGGTTCAAGTCCCAAGGTTTTTTTTTTTTTTTTTTTTTTTTTTTTTTTTTTTTTTTTTTTTGTAAACCACAGGACTCGCTATAGGTCCCTGCACGCGTGCTATACGGGAACTGCAGCTGTGGGTTATAAATTATAACTCACAGTGCGGAATGTGAACGTGGTTGCTGCTTGAAGGGACACTAAAGAGAAAGGCGCTATGAATTTCAACATGTATTCTCGTGAGTGCGTACTGGCGCAGTATGAGTATGTTAGCCATTATGTTAGCCATTATGTTAGCAGTATGTTAGCAAACACTATGTAGCAGCGTTTCAAGTGTAAGTAGTCCCTCCCGGTCAGGTTTCACGGCAGTGTACCTTATCCAGGGGCGTAACGGCCCGACTCCGCCCCCCCTCTCTCCCTAATTTTTTTTTTCTTCCATGGCACAGAGAGCGGAAAATGGGCATTTCAAGGGAGTGTCCCTTCCAAAAATCGAGGGAGTGACCCCCCTCCCCAACGAATAAAAATTCTACGCGCCTGCCTTTAGTAGCTAGGCGCCACTTAAGGTTGTGGGTCTATGCGTGCTTGCTGTAGGGCGGTTTCTTTTGGCGCGCACGTTAAAGAACCCCAGGTGGTCTAAATTTCCGGAGTCCTCCACTACGGCGTCTCTCATAATCATATGGTGGTTTTGGGACGTTAAACCCCACATATCAATCAATCAATCTTTTGGCGCTGCAGAAGAGTAATTTGTTACACATATATTTTTTTCTACACACTTCCCGCCTCGTCACGTTCGGGAACCGCGCATTGCTCTCGTCGTAAATGGGTGTGTCGGCCGCTACGCGTGACGAGGTCGCCGTACTTCTGTTTCTACCTCTCGCGCCCACCCCCCGACGACCATAGCGTCGTGGTGTGCGGTGCTCGAGTGGGCGCTACCGGCTCGTCTTCGCATAACCCTTTTCGTTGGCCTGGAACATTTCGAGCACTCCTTTTCAAGCGCGTGGCGTTTCGCAAGAGGAGCGAAAGTGTCTCGCTTCTCGGGAATACGTCGGTTGACAGCACCGGGCTCAAACCAAGGGCAGGCAGAGAAAATTTCATTATATCGCGCCCGGTGCTTTTGTGCACTGGGCTCCCGCCTAGATGTCGGCCAGGAGGTCTCGTCTCCCGCGGCCTGCTGGGTTGCAGAGTAAAGCCGTGGCCCCGCGCCCCAAGATGGCGGCCGCAGCGGCCATCTTAGCAGGGGCACGATAGAACCTTGGCGTTTAGCAGAGAAAAGGGACCGTTTTCTTCCCACAAATTGTCCGGACAGATACTGCTCAACGTGTGGCTTTGTGTTACTGGTTTCGTCAAGTAGCCTAAGTACTAGCAATTTTTATTGGAGACGAAGTACTGCTTCCGATCTGTTATTTTTCGTCAGCAACAGCAATCTTTTAATTCGTGATTAGCTAACCTAACACTAAAATTAACAGGGAAAAGCTATTTAATATACAAGCGGGAACAACCCGGAAATAACATTTACCGAGATTTAAGAAGGGTCAAAGGTGGCTTCATTTTTGTTAGTCAGGCACTGGGAAAGCTTCCACTCCAAAAAAATTTTTAAGCTCTTTGGTTGAAACCATTTTTGTGCGGTCATTTTTTGTGTGAGTTTGCAAGTCACATCAGTCTAATCTGAGCATTGTGTGTCACTTTGAGTCACGTATTTTATGGTAGTGCCCCTTCTGCCAGTACACTACGAGGTAGTCAGCTGCCTATTTTCGATCGTTTATATTCAACGTGTAATGGAAATGCCTCATGCTTGGCCCAACAGCAGCCCTAACAGTCGTAGCTGTAGCTCCCTAGATAGTCACGACCGTAGCAGGTTTCCAGCCAGTGGGGACAGAGACAAATCTGAGGACTCACCTCGGGTCAGCCAGTTGCAAGGAATACAGTAGTGTTTTCAGTTAACACAAGAACACCCCAGGGGCAGAGTGATCTGAACTACTGTGGAGGAGAATAACAATTAACATATAGCAAGCACACATCAAAAGAGAGAAAACTGCTCAGCCCACCTTGCGCGACTTTTGCCCTTTCGTCCAGTACAGTGATTAGCCCTCGAGTACCCGGGCAGTGTAGGGGGTGATGGTGGCAGTGGTGCTCATGGCTTGGTTGAAACGTGGCCAGTCACACCTGCTAAAGACTAAGACCGAGAGGCCCCCAAAACGGTGATGCTTATTCTTGAGGTTAGAAGAGTTTCCCCACGAAAGAGGAAGGAGGAAACATGTCGTCTCAACTACAGAATGAGCGCAGGGCATGCAGGGTAATGAGAGTGGCAAGATGCCCCCTCCTACACTACCACTCCATGTCATGAGTCGAGGCATTACACATTGAAGTCACTTGGTTGCACATGGGCATACAACCCCACTCTCGATAACCTATGATGAAAAGTAGTGGAACATAGTAATTTACTTAAAGGGACCCTCAAACAGTTTTGACGATTTTGTACAAACACATTGGGCCGGTAGATCAAGTCACAAGGGTCATTTACAAACCAATTTTAGCTCCCTACGTAAACTGTGAAATTTATTACAATGCTTTCTTTATTTATTATCTGCGAATCGCTGCACATCACTGCGACTGAGCCAAACGCGATTTCAGCCGCCCATTCACAGAGGGACATGCTCTGGCCACTTAAGGTCACCGTGGCTGTTGATCTGATTGGCTTACGCAAGCATTCTCTTACGTCACATTGGGACGCAGGCCCTGTGAAGGCAGAGCTTAGGTCCGAGCACTCGAAGGAAAAGTTGAGGGTGAAAGGCAGGGCAATGGAGGAGGGCACCTATTTATTACTCTTAGCTCGGTTAATAAGGGGTGTTCCAATTGAATTTTGGTGCCGATGATTTGCTCCAGTAGCAGTCTAATCAAAAACGGTATGTGAAAAAATCATTTAAGGGACCCTTTAAACAAACATTTTGACAAGTGGACTTGTCTTGGCGAATGGACTTGTTGCCTTACAAAGGCAAGTGCATTTGTCGAAACATTCGTTCCAGCAATTTATCATGTTCAAGGATCTCTCAACATTTCAAACCTTCATAATTTCCTGAACATCTATTTTATTTGACATGCCTGTGCTGTTTTGTTTATGGCATTGGCAACAGGACATGTATTCAATGACAAATGGGCCTTCTAGTATCACTTAGAGGTGTTGGGGTGGGTAAATGCAGATTTTCTATTTTGGATTTTAGTTCTCTTTTACAATGGCAGTTCATGAGTGGTCGCCATCAGACAGATGGTGACCACTCAAAACTGCTTCACCCCATCATTCACCTTAGTTTAGTGTCTTGGTGTTATCTTCGTTAGCTGTATTAGAAGACCTTTCTTATGCTGCCGTTTTTCCTTATGCCACATACTCTTCGTTGATTTCTTATGAGTGTACTTCTCGGATATTAATAACCATGAAGCCTGCCTTAGTGACTCAGTGGGTAGAGTGTTCGTCTGCTGACTCAAGAGGCATAAGTTCTGTCTGTGCTGTAGTGGTCTTATTTTAATGCTGTAGGCCCACATAGTGTGCATTGTCAGTGCATGTTATAAAACACAAGCGGTAAAATTATGCGGAGTACTATAGCATCGCTCATAGTTTGAGTTGCTTTAGGACATTAAGTCCCATCAACCAATCTTCAATACTTGCTGCATTTGCTTGGTGGCTATGATCTGCTAGTGAGTGCGAGGCTGAGCAAGTTCATTGATAGCTTCTTTCTGATGGGGGCGGGAAGGATGTAATCGTCATTTACCCTGCTCTCGGCACTACAATCAGTGCTGCTATTTAGCTCCAGAACCTTTTATAATGCCATCTGTTTACTAGCACAATTGACAAACTTTTCCATGTTTTCCCATGGCAATCTCTGCTGCAGCGTAAGTGAGACTATGGTTGAAACTCAAGTAAGGCATACCAGACACTTTGTTGATGTTTTCACTGCAGGCTGACATCTGGAGTCTGGGCATTACTGCTATTGAGCTGGCAAAGGGAGAGCCTCCAAACTCTGACCTGCATCCGATGCGTGTCCTGTTCCTGATTCCCAAGAACAACCCTCCGCAGCTGACGGGAAACTACAGCAAGCAGTTCAAGGAGTTTGTCGAAGCGTGCCTCAACAAGGATCCAGAGAATGTGAGTTCTTCCTTACTGGTCTCTTTGTCATCTGCTTTACTGCTTGTCATTTACACATTTGTGTTGTTCATTAGATGTAACTAACGTTTTAGCTTTTTTCAGCATGTTTTTGCATAAACTTCAGTTATAACTACCGATTTAATCAGTCCTATTGTTTGTCTTCCTTATCTCTTTCTTGGATTGCCTGTTGAGAGCTTGCTACAATGTTTGCCTCTCAGGACTTTGATTCCTTTTTTTTTTTAGTTTGTTTGTGCTGATTTTTATTGTACAATTGTTTTTCAAGTGGTAGTTATTTTTAACGGCCTGGTGATTTTCACTCGGTAGATGCTGTCTTGTATGGGTTGGAGGGACTTCAGAGCTTGACACCATGGAAGTATAGTTTTCATATTTTTTTTTATTTTTTCTTTGTCAGTTCTTTTAGTATAAAAGAATAGTGCGCTCTCCATCAGGTGATTATGAAACGTGACTAACACTGCAGCCGATTTTCTACATTGAAGTTACATTTGCCATGACAACAGCTTATGTGCTGGGCATGATTTCGTGACTTTAGCTTGTTGTGCATATGGTGCAGCGACCAACTGCGAAAGAGCTGCTGAGGTTTCCGTTCATCCGCAAGGCAAAGAAAACTTCCTATCTAATGGACCTCATAGAGAAGTACAAGCGATGGAAAGCTGCTGGTGGTGGCCAAAGTGACAGCGACTCAGAGGCGTCTGATTCGTAAGTGCCATTTGCTTTCGACTGAGGTGTTGCTTATCGTGTGTCAGCCTCAGCAGTTGTCCTTATCTATAATTCATACTTGTTCACTAAATCAGTGATGATACCATCTTACACTAACAATATCAATTTAGATTTTAGAGCTTTCAGCTGGCTAAAAGAAATGACACTGAAAAATCGGCTTCTATTTGCACCCCCCCCCCCCCCCCCCCTTCTGTTTAAATCTTATGTACTTTTTGGTGCACAAGTGAGTGAGTCTTGTGTAGGGTGTGGTCACTGGCAAAACAATTACGTGTTTTTGCTAAGATAGATCAGGCACAACTTTGCAAGGGGTTCCTGTTGCCTTCTTGGCACCATGTGAAGTTATGCAACAGGTTGTAAGGTTACACAACATGCTAACAAACTCAATATGCATATATAGACTGGATGACTGTCCTGGTGAGGTGTTATTTTGCAATGTCAATTAAGGAAAAGTAGTCTCCTTTTGCTATCTTCCATATCAATACATTGTCGTCTAGCACAAAGAGGCAATTTATTGCATTCTTCATTACATCAAGAAGCAAAATGCATTCTATGTTGTTTTTATAGCCAAAAATACCGTGTACGTTACTCTGTAGCTGCCTTTGTGTAACGTCTACTCACAGTCTTTTAAGATTTTCTAATGTGACTTCCCTCACTGATGCAGGGATGAGTCCAAAATGAACGACACGTGGAAGAGCTTACGCTGGGACCTGGGCACAGTCAAGGCGCCTCCTGGGACACTGGACCTGCGTGGCTCCGCTCCTGACAACTACCGGCCCAAAAGCGGGCGCCTCAATGGCGAGAGCTCACCAACAACAGTTGGCATGCTGCCTTCGGCGGATGTTATCTACAGTCGCACACCTGAGCCAAAACTGGCCTCGTCACCTGTAAGAGCCTACACTTCAATATTTATAGTTGCTTTTTTTCGTTACAATTTAATAGTTTAGTTTGCTTTTGCAGTAATTGTTCATTTAGGGATGGATGAGCTTATCGGGTTCTATCTCAATGAGAAAATATGGAGCTAACGGTGCTCAAATCAGCCAATAAATTAGACCTTGTGTTTATGACACAGTGATTTAGGTTTATGGCAGGGCTGCTGGTAGGGTGGACTTTAAAAGGAGCCAGATGCAAGTCCAAAAGTAGCCAAAGTAGCCATAACATTTAATTTCATCACCAGGTTTATAGCCAAATGGAAATAAGCAAGTGCGTCGCTCAGGCCACACATCACCACACGTGCAACCCCGCACGGGTCGACCAACCCGCAAAATAATTTGAAATGTGCCACTTCGAGGCCTTTCAGGCGTCGCAGGCCGAAGAGCGTAAAGTGGAAGCCTGCGAGTCTGCCGCACGTCGATGTTGGATCGGCGGGGCCTCACCCGAAGTGTGTGACATTATCTGGCGTCCGCGAACAGGACTGGCCGACCACGTGGTGAGTCTGGGAGACTGACGTATCTCTGAGCGTGCAGTATGTAGACGTCCTTTTATTGCTTTGTTGGTGGACAACAGTTTTTAGCAATGGACGACACGGAGTTGAGAAGCTAATTGAACAGGGCAAAGCCTTTGGCTTTGTAGGACAGCAGTTATATAATTTCGTCGAAAAAGAAACGAAATAGGCTTAAAGAGGAACGCAATGCCGAACCGCATTAGGTACAGCAACATCTGGAATTTCGATGGAACAGGAGCGAGAAAATTCAAGCTTAGAATTCAGAAGGAAAAAGCGCGTTGGGACTGTGTGCCACGCAGTCGGGTCTCAGCTTAAGCCGCATAGAAAGCCCAGTAGCGTGACCGACCGTGTCCCGATCAAGCAGTCTTGCCAAGATCATGTGCAGCTACTGCGCCAGAAAATCGAAAGTAGACGACGCATGCTTTGAGACTGGGATTCAAGGCACGAAAGGGCCAAAGAGACCGGTAGGTGCCAAACCGCTGAGAGCCGGGCAAAAGTTTGTACTGTTCAGGAGCGGACGTCCAGTTCGCGAGTGAACCTACTGAGTAGCTGCTGAAAGTCCCATTGTGGCCATAAAGGCCAGCTGAAGGCCGCCAGTGATGGCGACGAGGCGCTGTGCCTGGAAAAGTCTTGTCGATACAGAAATGCCATCTGTGATTGACTTGGCGCAGCCACTCTGTATGCGCGTCGCCATGGCAGCTAACTGTGATGGTTCACAGTGCAACCGGCCCAGCAGACGAGGACCCCTGTACAGACGGCGGGACAGAGGCGTGTGCTGACGCACACTGTGAGCTGGGCAATGTTGGGGCAAGTACTTCTTCCAGGTGCGAGCGGTGCAACCCCGAGGAAGACGCTTGCATTGCTCAGCCTTCAGCCAAGTTCCCCGTAAGTCAGGGTGTCCGTAAGTGAGAGAAAGACCCCGGTTGTATAGACAGCACAGCAGATGAGACAGACGAGATAAGTTCTGCTTTGCAAATGATGCAAGCAGACTTCTCGAAAGTGATCACGGGGCAATGGGCAAAGAGAAAAAGACGCCACGAAAGCAAAAGGAAAACAAAGGGTGCAAAACTACCCAAGAAAAATAGAATTGCTGAAGTTCAAACAAAGCAACGAAAGATTCATTTGCGCGTTGTGACGTTCGCGAGGCGAGCACGTCCCCATGCCCCAAACCATCCGACAGATAGAAGGGTGAGGCAGGCATTTGTTCGTGGAGCTCGGAAGAGCCAACCCCCTTCGCTCTATTGTCCCGCTCGAAGCACGGGGCGCCTTGCGAGGCAGCGCCTTTCGGCCGAGCGACACAACGTGGTTCGGAGACCCGTTTCCGTAGAACGCGGTGACGACGAGGGCATGCCTCCGAGGTGTAGAGAAACGGGAAACAGGCGCCCGTGTAGCGGCCGTACACGCTTCTGTCTGCCCTGGTTGCTTCGAACGGCTCCCCCAAGAGCGCGACCACCTCCAGCGCGGATAAAAGTTATGTATATGTACATAGAACGTAAACATACCTTCAGGCTAATGAGATTTGTCTGAAATAATGTCCATCGTTGTCATCGATTGTGAAGCACATAAGGGTTCAGAAATGTAGGGGCAGATTACATGAGCCGAGTCGGCGATGAAGAGGCCTGCGTTTACTTGGGTTCAATGAAACGCGGATGATCGCGTCGCGCATAGAGCCTATAACATTCGCTTTATTTGGTTTCTGTTTCATTCATGCCATAAGGCCACATTTCTAAAAATTTTTTTGCATACATGGATGCTTCGTACCTTCTTAATTTTGTCTGAAACCTTTTTTTATCACTTTGACTTCGAATTGCTCGGTAATTGTTTTTCTTCTTGTGGATTTGGAAGAATTATGTGTAGTGATTATCTTGTGATCCGTGTCATGATAGCCAGAAGGGGTGCTTCGAATACAGCTCCCCTCGATTCTAGCAGTGTGTGTTATTTCGTATTTCATGTGTGTGTCCATGTCGTGGTGATCGGGTTATGACATTCATCGTATGATGACCGTGAATTGTAATGTGTCAGGTGTTCTCTGCGATGTCGTCAACGTCAGTGAAATGCTGCGCGAAAAAAGAAAACGCATTGGTGGACAACCAGAACACTGCAAGCTCTCGAACATTGCGCGTTTGTGATTTTCTTGAATATTACACAGTAATATTCTTAGGAAGGGGGCTATGTCACAAACGACTCCAATTTTCGGAGCATCCGCGGGCCCCACCTACCAAGGAAGGGCGCTTTTGTGTTGGGGGACGACATCCGGCGACTATAACGACCCAGTGTGGCGCCGGCTCGTCTTCCCTGCACCGGTACCGGAAGGGGCACCGGCGATCTAAACAAGGAAAATTACTCCCAGATGAGACGGGAACACGTGTACGCCCCTGAGGCGGTTTGAACTGCATCGGAAGAGCAGTTGACGTACAGCCAGCAACAAGTGCAGTCGTCGGTGTCGCGAGTCTCGCGTAGGCGACGAGCACGGAGTGACCCGCGCAACGTATTGAGACGGCTGCAATTCCGGGCACCCTCGTCGTCTATACCAAGCCGGCGAGACCTTCAGCGGCACCCGTCAACTCCCCTACGTGCACGAAGAGCTGGCCTGGTCCGTATGGAACTTTTATTGTGACTTTTTTTTAAACTGTTAAATTATTTTAACCAGCCTTTTTTTTAAATATTTGTAGGGCGCGCTGCGTCGCACGTTGAAATTCAAAAGCGCCACCATGAGCATTCTGTAATTATTTCCTTGTAACCCTTTTTTACGATTTCCATCTGGTTGTTATTTTATTAATGTTCCGCATATTTGTCTTTTGTCTGTACCTCTTGTAGTGTTCTTTTAGAGCATAGTTTGTTTCATAGTCGTTCTTCCCATCGCGTATCAGTGTTATTCCTCTCTGTTATTTTCGTTAACTCCTGCCTTTGTCCTTGTTTCAATTAAATGCTTGTTTATGTGTAATCAAACTCTGTGTCTGCTCTATGAGTGCGTCGGTCAGGCCCACACATCACCACACGTGCAACCCCGCACGGGTCGACCAACCCGCAAATAAATTCGAAATGTGCCACTTCGAGGCCTTTCAGGCGTCGCGGGCCGAAGCGTAAAGTGGAAGCCTGCGAGTCTGCCGCACGTCGATGTTGGATCGGCCGGGCCTCACCCGAAGTGTGTGACAGTTACTCTGTAGCTGCCTTTGTGTAATGTCTACTCACAGTCTTTAAGATTTTCTAATGTGACTTCCCTCACTGATGCAGGGATGAGTCCAAAATGAACGACACGTGGAAGAGCTTACGCTGGGACCTGGGCACAGTCAAGGCGCCTCCTGGGACACTGGACCTGCGTGGCTCCCCTCCTGACAACTACCGGCCCAAAAGCGGGCGCCTCAATGGCGAGAGCTCACCAACAACAGTTGGCATGCTGCCTTCGGCGGATGTTATCTACAGTCGCACACCTGAGCCAAAACTGGCCTCGTCACCTGTAAGAGCCTACACTTCAATATTTATAGTTTGCTTTTTCGTTACAATTTAATAGTTTAGTTTGCTTGTGTAGTAATTTGTTTCATTTAGGGATGGATGAGCTTATCAGGTTCTATCTCAATGAGAAAATATGGAGCTAACGGTGCTCAAATCAGCCAATAAATGTAGACCTTGTGTTTATGACACAGTGATTTAGGTTTATGGCAGGGCTGCTGGTAGGGTGGACTTTAAAAGGAGCCAGATGCAAGTCCAAAAGTAGCCAAAGTAGCCATAACATTTAATTTCATCACCAGGTTTATAGCCAAATGGAAATAAGCAAGGTCATAATGCCATAAACTTTTCCTGTTTATTTGGTCGTCTAGTCACGAATAAATGACCAAATTTTAATGAATTCGATGCATCTGCATATTCTTCATGTAGAATAAATAGAGTTCTTGCCAGATACAGAGTAATTTCATTTTATTTTTAGGAAAAAGTTTGTATGAACATTAAACGATGAAGCCATTTTTCCTTGATGCCACTGACCGAATGTTCACATAATACAGCATCAGACTAGATAAAAGGCAGAGTGCAAAACTTGGTGGTCAAGCCTTTGCCATTGTGCACAGAACTTCACCACTCAGTTATAAAGCCAACTTGAAACTTTGATGTCCCAACGGGGTCTGAAAGTGGCCACCATGGCACAAAGTAACCACCAATGGCGACCCTGGTTTATCGCATCATTTTTTAAGGGGGGACAAAGGTCTTAAGAAAACTTTATTTATTATCCTACTGTCGTGAAAATTACCATGCATCTGTAACATTGAATGGAGATTTCAAATCTGCAAACAGATCTCAAGTATCTCATTTAGAAAAAGAAGGTATATACCAATTTTCACATTATAATTCGGTAATTTCTCACAGGTTGTTATGGTAACTTGCAATCAAAAAAGTTAGTTTTTAAAACTAAATGTTTCCTCTAAAAGGTTCTTCCCACAGGCTAAAGCA